AAAATTGAAGCTCTGACCTTTTTTCTTATGGAAAAACAAATTTACTTAGGTTTCTCTCATTTTTTTACTTTAGAATGTATACATATCAATGGTGCTCGCACATGAATTAAGCAAAAAGCCCGCATGAACCTCACGAATACAATTAATGTAGCCGAATCTGAATTTCAACTAAGAATAATAGATGCTTCTTGTGCTTGCCTTATTGCACTTTCTTCGGGTACTTACGGTAGGCTGCGGGAGGTCAATCACGGCGTGTCGTGCCGGGTGATGCCACTGCATATAGCATCGAACCCCAAGTCAGGCTGAACTTACAATGATTCCCCTGGACTGTTTGGGTTTGGGGCAATAATGCTTGGCCGATAGGTTTATACACCTTGTTGTGGTCAGCTATTGTGTCGTGGACGGCCATAGACTGACTGTTCCAGATGCTCCATCCATGTTCACGATCCCCACTGACTTATCGGAACGCAAGTTTTCCAGACAAGCAGAATTTAGTCATGGTAATTGTCGTTCACCCAAATACTCGCTAGGCAGACAAACTAGCAAGGTTCACTGTGAAGATAGAATATTTTTTGCTGGATTTTCTCATGGCAAGCCAAGCACAGTCAAGATCTCAATAAAGATGCTACACATTCTAAAGGTAATGGTTTACTGCATGGCATGTTGATCTACTGGGTGTCCATTGCTCTATGGAATACTTTGGTTCTCAGAATTATCAATCAGTTCGGCAGACTGGTTCTTGAGTCATGAGCAATATTTTCGGAATGTGAATGCGAGATAAAAAATATCTGTGTCTGCACTTCCTTTTTCATGGAAGGCCATTGACCTGGACGGACACTAGTGTCTGAGTTTAAGACATGGCCAATGTTACCAAACACTGTAACTAACTCAGACCATTCATTCAAATTTTGCCATTTTAAGCTTTTCTCATTTTAACCTCCAAGAAAGAATTGTCATCATCAACCTCCAAGAAAAACAACAAATTTGACGTCACAAACATCTGAGCCACTTGCTAGAAAACAAAGTGCTATATTTGGCACGAGGGCTTATATGAGTGCATTATTAGGTGTATATGGATAAACAAATGGATAACCACATTTCCTTTGCTACTGCATTCCATATGCCACTGCCTTTATTCTCCTACAAGCTTGTAAGGCATCTGCTGCTTTGTTTATCTTTAGATTGTGTATGGAGAAATTCGTAAATAAGAAGACACCAAAGGGATCGGAGGGTACATTATTGGTAGAAAGGAGGGGAACCAAAATTGGATAGGGGACAAATTGCATGCAGACAGCAAGGATGGACATGGATATGCACCGGAAAGTCAATTAGAACTCAACCTGTGAAGGTCATTGTCCACCGAAAGTTCTAATTAGTGGAATTTGATGCAGCCATCATGGATTATGTTGTATCAAGTGGTTCATTTCTGAATTGCTCGGTCAAGATCTTGATTGGTAATCCTATGTAAATAAGATAATCTCATTGGGAGATCGAGCAATTGGATTTTCCATGATAAGAGGTTTCTTGTGTATATTCCGTGTGGGAGTGACCCGATCAAATTTTCAGTAGGGATCTCCTATGCCAAACTGGAAAAGGTTGTAGTAATATTCTGCAAAACAGAAGGTGCCCCTTATTTTAAATACTGTAGTGTTTTCAAGCTCTTATTTAGTTAATTAGAAAAGGTTGGAGTTATAATCACAGAAGAGAAGTCGCCCCTTATTTTATCTAGGACCACCTAAATCATGTGTTAACGTCGTAGACCGTGTGAGTGGCTGGTGGAAGTACCGAGTGGAGCCTTGACGTTGAGCATGAGGCGCTGGCCCTTCTTGCAGTGCTTGACATCGGCGCTCGCGAAGTAGGCAAACCCCGGGGCGTCTAAGAGGAAGAGCGAGCTACCGTCCTTGACGGGCGGTGTTGGGGCCAGTGCCGTCCAGTTGGTAGTAATTTCTGGGACGGACTTTGCTCCAGGCCCCCCCCGTCTTCTCCACCGAGGCGACTCGGGGGAAACCCTAAATCGCCGCCGCCGCACCCCTCCTTCCCCCCTCCCCTCCCCCTCCGCCGCCGCCAAAGGTGTGCGCCGGCGTGCGCTCGACACCGATGAAGGTGGCGGCGGGGGATCTGGCGGCTCCACCTCGCGTGGAGGGCTCAGCATCCGGGGCAGCGGCCCCGGGCGGAGAGCGTCGGGTGGCCCGGGCGACGGGCCACTCCGGCCGGAGCTGGTGAGGCGCCGCCCTCGGTCTCGCGGGGGACGAGGAGGCGCCGGTCCATGGTCGCTGGTGGGCGGCCTCCCCTGCGCGGCGGCCGTCGCCAGATGCATCTCACCCTCTCCGCTCCCGATCTGCTCATTCCATCGCCGGATCCGGGTCCTCCCGGGTGCCGGCGGCGCGGATCTCGTCGAGTGGGGTTGGTTCCGGGGGAAACCCTTGGCCGGCGCAGCCACATCGCAGGCGACGCCCTAGGCGCCGTACCCCTCCCTGGAGGCTGTGGTGAGGATCCTTCTCCCCCTCCTTCCGCTCCCTGCTAGGTGAAAGCCTAGGTCCCCTGATTCGGGCGGCGACGACACATCCGTGTCGTGTTCCTTCTTGGAGGCGCAGTCCAGGGATCGCAGGGGCGGCGAGAGAGTCGGGTTGTGGGCGTGATGGTGGCGGGTGGCAGCTTGGCTCGGCGCTTCAATGCCTCTTCTTCGGTGGCTCATCGTTGTTGCCCTTGTTGCTACGACTGTGGCCGGCAGCTTTTGCCCTTCGGTGTGGCTTAACCGCGGACGACGATAGCGCTCGGAAGGTTGTGATCTGTGCTAGCAGGTCTGCTCTTAGTTTTTTCTTCATGCGCAGCTTGGACGTCTTCCCCTAGGTTCAAGGGTGAACCGAGCTGCCGCCTGCCGGTGCGGCATCCTTCGAGCCAGGATGAGAGGGCAGGGGCCCCTAGGTTCAAGAGTGTCAGTGCTGTCTTAGAGTTTGGCTACGATCACGAAGCTTGCACGGTGGTGCATCCTCTCAAGTCCGTAGCCGGTCCGGTTGGTGTAGGCCGTCCTGCAGGGTGTTGGCGGCAGCATGGCGTGTTCTTGCTATCGCTGCTGCCTTTGAGTCTGTGTCGCTTTGCTCCCTGTATCAGCCGCTTGTTTCTCTTCTTGCTTTCCTTGTATGTTGGTGCTGTTGTAATCCTGGCCGGTTGATGGCTTTGTTAATTCAAAGCCAGGCTCTCCTTGAGTCTTCGTTCTAAAAAAGAAGTACCGAGTGCAAACTTATTCCGCTGTTATAAACAAGCACAAATGAGAAGAGATAATGACATGCATATCTAGAGCCATTGAACATTCGCTACCTGGTTGAACCACCGCCCATAGTAGCTAGTGGTCCAGTGGCTCTGTATCTATCAATTCATAGGCAAAAGGCGCAAACTTATACTGACCGACTGTATTTATTCCCCGTCCTTGGTCTTATTCCAAGATGGGAAGAAGAGATCGACACGGATCGAAGATCTTAGTTGTTGAGCTAGAGGTAAAAGCACTAGGGCACTGAAATACCTACTTTACACCACGAGGGCAACCGCTGCCCGCTCTGTGATTCTGTGTTATGTTAATCTTGCTGGAAAGCATTCCTTAGTGTTGTTAAATACGCTTCTGTTGCATGCACACCGCGAAAAAGTTACACGCTTTGGTGTGTGTATTTTCAGATTCAACAAGGCGGTCTTCAATTCTTAGGTAGATTTGCATTTAACATCCCAATGCGTGTGTTAACCAAAAACTAATAATGCCATTTCAGGTGGCATGATTGGCACTTTAACAGCAGTGAAAACAACTAGATTGCGACCGGACTCTTCTGTTTTCGCTTTTTCTCTTTTCTTTCAAGAGCGCAGACCAAAGTATCCCTCGTTTAATCTGATGCGGTGGCATTAGCAAGGCATGTTTTTACCGTCTATGTAACTTTTGATATGCTTTTTTCCTCTTCGGTAACGGCTATACGACGGGGCAACAGTCTGAAGGAATAAGTTGGAAGAAAGTCGATTAACTTTCATACTGTGCTACTGGACCAGCACAGGTATATGCATACAAAAATGAAACTGCCATCAGAAATATGAATCATGGACAGATCTGCACTTCCCTTTTCCGAGAACTAAAACTGCGGCTGTTAACAAGATAGAGTTGTGGAAAGCAAACTGAAAAGAAAGCGAACTGCAAGAAGGTAGGGTCCTTTTTGTTTCAAGAACATTCTTTTTTGTTTCTTTGAAAACTTCCAAGATAGAGCGAGTTGTTCATTACCTAGAAAAGCAGAGTGAGTTGCAACTTACATCTATCACTTTATTCTCTAATTTGCTGGCAGAAACTTTGTCTATGGGGTATCTGCTTTAACCTCGCCTTGTTGTCCAACTTCCAATAGATACATATGGGCGACTTTCTCGCGCATTCCGTGACATAAGATGTTCGTTACTGATTTTGTCACACCAGTGACGAAATCTAATGGGTGAACAGTCCTTCTATTTGGAATACTGTTGGTAGTTACACAATACTCTGTGTGGTTTTAGCAGTAGAGTTGTATTTAGCAAATATGCTGATTCGGTGCAAGATCTCGCCGAGCTCTGTTCCGAGCAGTAGATGATGATCTGCTGCTCAGTGATTCACAATGTTTGCGAGGCAAGTGAAAGGGGAAAATACCATACAGCGAAAACAGAGGCATCTGAGATTTGGCAATGCGCTCTTTCACTTGATTTATGTATGATACAAGGCGAAAGCAGCTGCGGCTAAATTACAAGCAACTACACACACTGGTAAAGGTAAAACATGGAGACTCTCTCTCAAAATCCAAAGCCTCATGTTCCTCTCAGGCACACTCTATGCTCCAGGTGCCACTCCGTTTCGGCAGATTGGAAAACGACTGATCAAAACCCAAACATACAAGAACAGGAAAAAAAAGGACAGAGCTACTGAACAAAACAGAGTGAAACGAGAGGGAGGGGTTCATGGGATGAAGTGCCACCATGCTATGCCAGCCAATCCTAACGACTAGCTAGTACCTGACGAGGGTGGTGGTGGTGGCAATCCATGGCGGCGTTGTTGTCCCTGTGATCGGCGCAGCAGCTTCATGGGGGCGCGGCGTGTAGGCGCCGTTGCCGGTGTCGTCGCCGACCTTGTTGTGGTGCCACGCGGGGTGCCTCGGCGGCGTCTCGCCGCCAGCCTGGTCTTGCAAGTAGGCGGCGTGGCTGCCGACATGGGCGTGGTCGTCTTTCGGCGTGCTGTCGTGGTAGGCCTTGTGCCCGTCCTCGTGGTCGGCCACGATGGGCGGCTGCCGGTACTCCGGCGCCGGCTCCGACCAGTAGCCGTGGCCGTGGTTCCCTCTGCTGCGGCCGTAGTCGTCCCGTCTGCGGCCGCCGAAGCACGAGCCGAACTCGAGGCACATTCTTTCTTGGTGGTGAGTGGCGCCGGGTGCTTCTTTTTGTTTACCTCGTGTGCGTGTGCTGGGCTACTGGTAGTGGCAACTGGGAAGCAGCACTATCCTCGAACTAGCGTGGGTATCAGTGCAGTGGTGGTGTTGATGGACCTGAAACTGACAGTGCTGGTGTGGTGGGTGATATATATTCGGGTGGGGAGATTAGAGCCCGTGCTGCTCGACCAGGCTCATCGTTGACGTGTGCCCTCGGATGTGGCTGTTTAGGTCCCGATCGATCAGGCTCGTCCAACTCGCTCTCCGGACTCCGGTCTCCAGGGCCGGTCAACCGTGCGAATCATGGATGGAGGGAGGGAGGACGGTGCAGCGGGACGGCAGAATATCTTTTTGGGGGCCGGCTGTGGATGTGATGTGATTAGGGAGGGCGGGGTCTCGTCAGGATGTTGGACTGGCCGGTCGTCGTACCGTGTTTCAGTTTCAAGCTTTCAACATGGTGGACCTGCGGCGGGCAACACCGATGTTGGACTCTTCGTTCACTGGTTTTCACTGAATCTTCGACGCGCTGGATTCCTTTACCCGTTCAAAATTGACAATTTTGCCTGAAAGTACAATTAAACATTTTCTGTAATCTCTTGTTAGCGGAGGGCTGAATGTTGTTAAGCTTTGTTGGGAGGGGCAAGTCCATTGGCAATTTAAGAAGGGTTAGGCACACTTTACTGCGTCATTCTGGCATGGCAAGGGGCTGCGGCAGGGGGACCCCATCTCCCCCCTGCTCCTCATCATCGTCTTGGACGTCCTCACGGCGATGTTCAGGAAGGCGGAGGAGGCGGTCCTCTTTGCGTCCCTCCGCACTCGAGGCATCCACTCTTTGCGTCCCTCATCCACCACCGACTCTCGTTATACGCCGACGATGCCATCCTCCTACTTAGCCCGCTGGTCGCCAAGATGGACGTGGCCAAGCAGATCCTTGAGTGCTTTGGGGAGGCCACGGGACTGAGATGCAACTTCACAAAAAGCTCGATCTCCACGATCCGCTGCCAGGAGGAAGACATTCAGGAGCTCGTCGTAGTGGCCGGCTGCAGTGTCAAGGCGCTGCCAATCACCTATCTTGGCCTCCCCCTATTCCTGCGGGCCCTTACCCGAATTGAAATTGAAATCTAGCCCCTCACTGACCGGATCGCGGCACAGCTGCCGACATGGAAATTTGCCCTTCTTCGCCGGGCTGGCAGGCTCACGTTGGTGAAATGTAGGCTCTCGGCCATGCCAATCTTCCACTTGATGGCTCTTGACCTACCACCATGGTTTTTCAAGTGCATCGACAAGCTCCAGAGGGGATTCTTTTGGCGTGGGGTCAAGGATGCCAAGGGGGGTGCAGAAAACCGCGATGGACAAGCCCTGGAACGGCCTGAGCGTTGTCGTTTCCGATGAGGCCGCATAGCATGGGCAGTGCGGCGCTGCGCTGCACCCTTGGTGACGGGCGGATCATGACCTTCTGGCACGATCCGTGGTTGGATGGCCGCTCCCTGGCGCAGCGGGCGCCCAACCTATTCGCGTACGTTACACCTGCGGGGCGAAAGCTAACTATGGCTGAGGCGTTGCATGGCCACGCTTGGGTTGACGGGATTCGCGGCGCGCCGTCGATTCCTGGCATCGCGGAGTTCCTTCTGATCTGGGAGGAGGCGCGGACTGTCGCTCTATCTGACTGCCCTGATGCCTTCTCCTGGCGTCTTGGCTACAACTGGCCGGTACTCATCCCGCGATACCTACGCCGCTTTCTTCCTCGGGAGGGAATATGCACCTTGTGCCGAGGAGGTCTGGCGGTCTTGGGCCCCTCTAGAGGTAAAACTTTTTGCCTGGCTTGCAGTGCGGGCAAGGTTATGGACGGCCGATAGGCTCGCTCGGCGGAATCTACCGCACACACGAGTTTGCCAGCTCTGCTGCCAGCAAGACGAGGACACCACGCACATGCTCCTCGGCTGGCCCTACTATGGTGAGGTTTGGTACAACATGCTTCTCCCCATGGGTCTGCATCGTTTCACTCCGGACGGCACGAAGGGCTTAGCGGACTGGTGGCCACAGCTGGCGGAGGCTGGGGCGGCTAGGCACAACAGACACACGAACACCACCAGCATAGCCACGCTCCACTTCATCTGGCTTGAGCGCAACAGTCGTGTCTTCGAGCGCAAGGCATCCCCGCCGATCTCCACCATTAACCTCATTAGGGCAGAGCTTCGTCTATGGACTCATGCTAGGGTACATGGCGGACACCCTTTCCGGATTCACTAGGAAGCACGGCCTGCCCGTTCGCTGGGCTGGCAGGGCGATTTTCGCCATGTAACTCACTCTGTACTGTGACTCCTTTTCTCCCCCCTTAATTGAAAAGACATGCAACACTCCAACATGTTCTTGAAAAAAAAATGCTTTACTGCATCATTGGTGTTGTCGAATTTCCTTATTTTTTGGGGGACGCTACGCGTCGGCCGGCGGATCTTTTTAAAAGATCAGTCGCCCCGACAGTTGTTTGATCCGACGTTAGCCAGCGGCATGAGTCTTTCCTCACCATTGCAACAAATGCACTGTTGTAGAATCCTTCTTTGCAATAGACCATATGTTACAGAAACATTCGCAATAGAGATTCTATTACAGAATTATTATTTTTTTGTCTTAATTTTTTTTTCATTGGTGTTGTTGCGGAATATAGACTATTGCGGAACGACTTCTGCAACACAGATGATGTTGCATATTTGTTTTCGTCTTAACTTTTTTGCAACATGGGTGTTGTTGCAGAACGACTTCTGCAACACAAATGATGTTGCGGAATATGTTTTTTCGTCTTAAATTTTTTGAAACATGGGTGTTGTTACGAAAGGGCTTCTGCAACACACATAGTGTTGCCGAAAAATTGTTAAGGTGACAAAGGCACGCGTCGCGCGCGAATGTGGTGCCACGAATAAGGTGTTTTGCACTAAGATATACGTTGTGCATCGTCCGATGGAACTTGGACCTGGCGGCTGCACGAGTGGCGGAACGCTATGCGTGATCGGCCGGCTGATGCTAATCATTTTCCTTATTTTTTCTACTTCATCTGTTTTAAAATATAAGGTGTATTGGTTTTTTGAGAAGTCAATCCTCTTTAAGCAAGACTAAACTTTTAGAGAAATATTTCAATATCCTTAATATCAAACCACTATCATTAGATTCATCATCAAATGAATTTCTATATTTTATTTATTTAGTATTGTGGGTGTCGATGTTTTTGGCTGTCGTTTGATTTAAAAATCATTAACTCGGTCAAAATTGTGAACCAAATCAAGAATACCTTCAATCAAATAGGGGAGCCCCAAATTAGGTAGTATAGTGGATTTAAAGAATTGAGAGATATAGCTCCTTGAGAAAAAAATATTGTTGACCCGATCAAAATTGGGTGACCCAATTTCAAATTGGAGACGTCAGTTGGTTGTGACAGCTCTAAAATTAAGTAGCAAAGTGTATTTGTAGATAGATTCACGTATATATTTGGTTTAAATCAATGATGTTGTTGGGGGAGAGGGGGAGGAGGAAGGTGCCCTGCTGGTCCCTGGTCCCTAGTGTTGTCGTTGTATCATAAGGCAACCTTAAAAATGCTTAATATCTCGTCTATGCACTCGAAGACATACAAAACCCAAACACGTGACTGTGAAGCTTCTGGACAATTGGTCAGTGTTGATAAATTGAACATATTTTTTAGCCCAAGCACTGAAGTGAATATGAAAGCCGAAGTCTGCTCTTCCCTGAATATTATGACTGAGGCTCTAAATGATAAGTACTTGGGTCTCCCTACCACTCTCGGCCTAGATAGGAGTGGCAGTTTTCAGTACTTGGTAGATCATCTAATTAAAAGGCTAATTGGGTGGAAAGAAAAATGCCCGTCATCTGGAGGGAAGGAGGTGCTTCTGAAGTTTGTTTCACAAGCCATACCAACTTATGCAACGTCGGTCTTTAAAATTCCTAAATAAAAAATTGTAAAGGAATCATAGATGCGATATCTAGTTTTTGGTGGGGTGATGAAGCTAGGCAGAAGAAGGTGCACTGGTTTTCGTGGTGGAAGATGTGTATTCCTAAGAAAAAAGATTCATGTGCTTTCGAGATATTCACTGCTTTAATTTGGCTTTGTTAGCTAAGCAGGCATGGAGGCCAATTGACAATCCAGCGTCATTATGTGTTGTCATTCTGGAAGAAAAGTACTTCCCTAATTGTGATCTAATGGATGCTACACTTAAGAGGAGAGCTTCATACACGTGTCAGAGTATAATGGTAGGAGTTGACACCTTGAGGAGAGGTTACATATGGAGAATAGGGGATGAAACCAAAGTGAATATTTGGGATGATCCGTGGATACCACAATAACCCTCGAGCATGGGAATAACATCCTTTCTCGAGTGAATGACCTCATTGATCCTTCCACCGGTGACTGGGATGAGCAGTTGGTTAACCAAACTTTTTGCATGTAGATGTTCACGGAATACTGGCTATCCCTCTCTCACTACATGAGATGGAAGATTTTGTAGCTTGGAACCTGATGAAGCATGTAACTTTTTCAGTGTGTTGTGCATATCAGGTGGAATGGGAGTTCAGGTATGGGCAAAAAATTCAGCCGACCACTTCGTCATCTAGCCAAGTGGATGTATGGGATTCAGTTTGGAACCTCAAATGCGCAGCCAAGAAAAAGAGCCAACCAAGTGTCATACCATGTCTTGCGATTCTAGCAGTGAAGCATATTAAGGCGAGATCCCACTTCCCAGCTTGTAACAAAGGCACGGTATCATACATCCGCTGTTACAATGCCAAATGGCTGAGGAAGTTTGGAAAATGATGGGGGGTATATGATGTGATCAAGAATGCGTGCAAAGTGAATTGGTCTAGAGAGGTAGTCCTCGAGCAACTTCTGTGTCTCCAGGACTCGGATGTTCATGTCTTGGGTTTGCCAAATCTGCGAGAAACTATAGCAACCACTTCGTGGTACTTATGGTTTG